TAGAGCATATACTGATTAAAAATATACTTTAATGAGTTTTAAAAGAATCAATTTTCTTATGCTCTCTTAACTTGAAGCTATCTATGTTGCAAAATTAAACTCGATTAATTATTATTTTAGATTATGCCATCCTGGCCCCTGTCCACCTTGCGTTGCTCAAGTTACCTCTTCTTGTCCCTGTGGTCGAGTTACAAGGATTCAGGTGTGTGGGCAACCAAACATGGGTTCATGTGGCAGCACATGCGGTCGTCAATTGTTACTTACTAGAATGGTCAATGATAGAGTCAAGAAAGATAATTTTATAAGACAATGCGCCACTGGGGTCCATGTGTGCAAAGAAACTTGCCATCTTGGAGACTGTGCTCCATGTAACCAGATCCTGCGGGCCGGTAATTCCTCAATTATATTATTCTTAATTTTAAGTAATTTTGTGAGACTAGCAGTAACTAAGATATGTGAGATATGTTCATCCTATTTCGCCATTTCTTACATAGGTACGAAGTCGGTACTTATTTTAGTAATTCTGTTCTCATTAAACTCGTCACCTTTTGATATATTTTTGCACATTAACTAGTTGATTTTTTAGATTGGCCTTATTCATTCTTTCTCGTTATTGTAATTAGACTGCTTTTGTGGGAAAACGAGTCGAGAATTTATCTGCGGTAGTGCAGAATCTGGAATTCTCAATCTCGATCAATATTCGCCACGTTCGGAAAACACTTGTGGGCCTGAATATGTCGGCAAGGCCTTTTGCTGTGGTGTTGTTTGTGCTCTCGAACTAGACTGTGGCCACCACACCTGCCAAAGATCCTGCCATGCTGGCAGCTGCTCGCCATGTGTTCTTACTCCCGAACGCTGTTTTACATGCCCGTGCGGTCAGACCGAGCTTAGTAAACTAGTAAGAATTTTTTAACTCTATATTTTGGATTTTGGCTCTTTTATTAGACGGTGTATGAATAATGCTGATGACCTTTACTTTGTAGTTGTTGATATAAGTAATAGCCAAGCTGTATATATTCCATGTGTTTAGAATGAGTTTCTCTTACTACTCTCATTAATTTCTTAACTTTTAAAGGTCGTCTCAGGTGACTCAAAAGGGGACAGAAAGGCATGCACAGATCGTATACCCACCTGCCCGAACCCTTGTGCTCGCCTTCACCCGGTCTGCGGACATACTTGTCCGTCACTATGCCATAACGGAGATTGCCCACCCTGTACCCTTAAAACTACTGTCCAATGCCGCTGTAAACGTACAACTAAGGTGCTAACATGTCTTCAGTACTCTGAGCAATTCGCCAAAGGTAGGTTTTTTAATAATTATTGCATGTTTTTATTATCGTCGTTCTTATTACTTGGCATGGGGTTAAAGAACAGGTAGTTATCATTCTTGGATATATACGTCATTCGTTTC